AATGACCACCAGGAAAGCTCCCGAAATAGGGAAGTATTCAGCCTTTGGGGTTGAAGGGGGGGGGGAAGGGGGGGGGGGGAGGGAGGGAGAAAAGGAGAAAGAGGAAGGAAGGAAGGAAAGACAAAGAGCAAGGAAGGAAAGAGCAAGGGGAAGGAAAGGAGGAAAAAGGGAGGGAGGGGGGGAAGGAGAAAGGGAGGGAGGGAAACGAGGAGGGAAAGAGAAAAAAGGAGGAGGAAAAGACAAGGAAGAAACAGGAAGAAACAGGAAGGAAGAGAGGAGGAAGAGGCAACGGAGGAGGAGGGGGGGGGGGGGGGAGGGGGCCTCACCAGAAGAGGAAGACCAGATCTTCCTTTTTGCTCTCCTTGGTTTCGTAGGTGGCGTCATAGAGGGCATAGCGGCAGTCGCTGGGGGGCAGCATACCGACGAAGTGCAGGTAGGGGTCATCAACGGTGTCTCCCAACTCGCCCACCAGGATCTCCCTGCCGGGCTCCAGGATGATCTTCTTCTTGTCCTCGCTCAGGCAGAAGATGACAGCCTTCTTGCGCTTCTTCTGCTCCTCCTGGGGGGCATGTTTGCGCACCTTCATGTCGTTGAATACCTGAATGACTTTGTCACAGACGGTGACCCCAGAGGCCTGGCAGGGGGACCAAGGAGAGAAACACTCAGCGATGACGGCCCCCCAAACCAGGGGACCACAATGCAGGGAGTCTTCGACTTACGCCCACAATTGAGCCCAACATTTACGCTGCTCAGGGAGGCATTTGTGGAGTGAGCTTCGCCTCCATTTTATGACTTTCCTTGCCACATCTGGTAAATGAATCACTGCAGGCATTAAATTAGTCAGTGAATCCGGCATCCCCGTTGACTTTTGTCAGGTCGCCAAACGGGATCATGTGACCCCGAGGACACTACAACAGTCATAAATGCAAGTAAGTGTCAAGCATCCAAATATAAATCACATGACTGTGGAGATGCTGCAATGGTTGTGTAGAAAAATAGTCCCAAGTCACTTTTTTCAGGGGTGTTATAACTTCGAACTGTTAAACACTTTGCAGTGATTCACTTAACAGCCATGCCAGAAAAAGGTTGCAAAATCAGACATGACCCGATTAATAACAGATTTGTTTAACAATGGAAATTCTAACCTTAATTGTGATCCCAAGTCGGTGACCGCTGTGCAAGATTACTACAGGTAAGAAAGCAGTGGGGGATTCTAGGCACATGCTGAGTTTTATCAGTCACAGTTGGTTAAATCAGGTTTACCAAACAAATATGCTAAACTAAAAAGCAGAGCCAACAAATTTTTCTTTTATGTACAGAGAGCATATGCACCAAAGACAAATTCCTTGTGTGTCCAATCACACTTGGCCAATAAAGAATTTAAACTAGTAGCCAGGATGCTCTTCAAATGCTCTACCCTATTCTGCACAATATTCTGATGTTGGAGGGGCTGCCCCAAAGAAAAGGGGGGCCACCTATTCCCCAAATCACTTGAAGGCAGGACAAGCAGCAACAAATGCAAATTAATCACAGCAGAGAAGCATCCTGACATTGAGAACAATTAATTAGGTTTGTCTCCAGAAGTTGTGTGCGCTCCAGCACTGGAGACTGGACAGAATACTGTAGGATCTGCTGCTTGAGGAGGGGGTTGGACTAAAAGACCCCCGAGGTCCCTTCTGATTCTGTTATACCAAGACAAGGACTGGACTGCCACAAAAGACTGCACCGCCCACCTCTGCAACTTCCTTCCCACAGAGTGCAAACTCCGGCTGTGAAAAGGGAACTGATTGACTGATCGAAGCCCCTGTGTAGAAGATTGTAGAAGACCCATTTCAGGATAGCGGCAGCCGAGTTCACACAACATGTTAGGCTGGGCTCAAGTGGGATCGGATTATTTGTTGTTTGGGGCAGGAGCCCAGACAATTATGGCAAGCAAGAAGCCAGAATAGGGTTTAGGCTTTGCATGTCATGGCAGCTCTCCACCCGGGGCATAAAATTGTGATTACAGGGGCCAGGGGAAAAGTTTGAAGAGTCTGTTTGGAAAAACCAGCAGGATGAAAGGGACACCTTCCTCCAGCTGGCTCCATCGCAAGCCTCAACTTCTTAAAAGCAAGCCTTTCCGAAGAACGCTGGCCGAAGCACCCAGCCTCACGAGAAAAGCAATCCGGAGGCAAATTCTGCTCCCACCGAAGGCAGGAGAGAAAGGCGTGGCACCAGCCCAGAGAGAGAGAAAGGAAGGGAACCAAGGGCCACCTTTGGCAATCCCCTCTTCCAGATTTCCCTGGGAGGAATTGTGGGTTTGCTATCGTAGCTTGCTGGGGAGGGAAAAAAAAGTACAGGCCGAAAAGAGCAGGTGGCCCAAAGCTGCCAGATGGTGCTTGGGCTGCAGAAAGGGAAGTGGCGCCCTGCCGCAGAGTGGGGGGGGGGGGGGGGGGGGGGGGGGGGA